CCTCATACTGTTGGTTCCGTTTGCGTTGAAGCATTAAGGAACTGGCAAAAAGGTAGGAAGAAATATTGACGTTCCTATAGTATGGCGAGTGTCTAGGAATTGCAATGATAATTGTTATATTTGTTCGTGTAATGTTGTGAATATAATGTTCGTGTGAATCGACAGAAAAAAATTAAGAAACTTCGACCATGTACCAGATGTACCAATACCTACAGCCACAAAAAAAAACTAGAATACGTCATATCGTCAGAATAAGAGGAATCTAATTCCGGCCCAGATGCATCCCAAGGATGCATCCGAATTGTTAGCGTCCCATCAAGCTTTTACCAGGATCGCGAGAAAGAGTTATGTTAATATTTTACTCAGGAAGGATCGCTGGTCTATTGCAACAATATGCCTGACTTAATTTCAAAATTATTAAATGAAGAAGAAGAATGGCGCCTGTTTATTAACTCAAGGAAGCGCAGTTGAAAAGACGTTTTATTGCAAGATAGAAGAAAGCATTTTTGTTGTTCCGCAGATAAGAACATTATGCAAAGACAAGGATTTTCAAAACACAATCACCAATGTCGAGTAAAACGCTTGGGTTTCATTTAAAGAAGTAATTAATGTTTCTTGGGAACTTATTAGGTACCTAAGGACGAAAACTACGAAACTTTCATTCAAAATATGTTACAACACTTTCATAGTCTAAGTTGTAATATGAGTTTAAAAGTGCATTTCCCGTTTTCACACTTGAAAAATTTTTCTGCAAATCTTGGAGCAGGTAGTGAAGAACAGGGAGAGAAGTTTCACCAGGACATTAAGGAAATGGAACGGCGATACCAAGGCAGATGGAGCATAACGATGATGGCGGACTGCTACTGGATGTTAAAGCGGGATATGCCCTTGAAAACACACAGCCCAATGTCCGGACAACGTAGCTTTCTGGCAAAAAGACAAGGATTTCACTCAAAAAAGTCTGAGTAAAGTTTTTTTTCCTTAATAAAATATAAAATAAATAAATTATTATAAAATAAATAAATTATTTTAGAAATATCGTTTTTCTCCTATAATATTTGCAAAAAAACGTTACTTGATACAAATAAATGCATAGAATTTTGCAAACCAGCCTACCAAAATTATATAAAATCAGTTTTCAAAATTAAAACACCTGTCAAAGAGTTTAATTTTGTAGACCTGTGTTATAGTAAAACCAAAACGAAATTACTCCGAGGTTGGAAAATGATATATTTTCACGACCTAGGGCCGCAAAGACAAACACCTTAAGATTCTCTACTCAAAGTATCAACTTTGCAAAGTGTCTTAAATTTTTACTCAGGTGATCAACCCTTTCGCGCTTGAGGTAAGAAGCGCCATACAAAATTCTGTTTCGAGTCATGACATCATTTGCATTACGCGGGTTTTCAGACATAAACGAAGAATCTTCTAGTTGGTGGTTTGGATCTTGTGGATTCCTATGACGTTGCCCAACTAAACTGAATGTTCAACAGTTTGTTTAGACAACGATGTTAACGACCCTTTACCAAAATTTGATATTCGATACACGGAAATTTTCGTGCACAACACATCATTTCGTAAATACGACAATTTAGGAGTACTTGAGGGAGCATTATTAAGGCCATCATTTTTACTTCGCAATTCTATATTAATTATTCGTTTTAGCTGAGATTTTAGTTTACCACTCGGTTTACGATAACAGTTTTGAGCTTTTAGTGCACAACACCACGATTTAAATTGCGATAACTCGAACTCAGCTTAGAAGAAAAAATACAAAAGTAAAATTTTTATTAAACTGCAAACAAATAATCAAAAATAAAATAAAATAAAATAAATAAATAAAAAATAAAAAAAAATCAAAAAACAAGTAATCAAAACCTACAATTCCTAGGAAAACGAGTGCGCATCAGTAGTATCTGCAGTGCAGTTACTGTAATACCCACCAAAGTATCGGTCAAACCCTAATCGATGCATTTCCTAAATAAATAAAATGCTATAAGTTTTGCGTTTAATAAATGTTTTGAAATTTCGAAACAAGTCGCCGACCATCAGGTTGGTATTTGAGAACGTATATTTTCCACGTTGCCATGGCTGATCGGAAATCAATATGCTATATCCAACAGCACAAAGGTGCAAAAAAAAAACTATCGACTTTTAGTCAAATTTATAATCGAATCAAAAAGTAAGTTTTTCATCATAAGCAGCAACTGAATTGAATCACTTAATACAGAATCACTTTTTGTTAGGTTCTAAAGTCGAACTATACATGCATATACATATATAACTACACCTAATGAGTTTATCGGTTAATTATAAAGCTACTTATACCAAAAGCGTTATTTTTATCGTTTCAATTTTGTTGACCTTCTGGTCGATTGCGTCGATCTACTTATATTACTTAGAGTAAAATTTTACATTTTTAAATTTGATATTAAGGTACCTATCGGATGGCCGTTTGGTCTGTTACAAACAGTTATACAATCGAGCTGATTAACACCATTAAGAGTTTAATTCAGTACCAAGTCAATGGCTTTTGACGACACTGAAAACGGATTTTCCTAGTCAAAATGCAAATATGGCTATAATTTAATCAGCATTGTTGAGGATCAAAGGTCCTTGAACGTGACGTATTAATGCAGAAAATTCCTCGTATCTATCTATTCAGCCGCATCCTCGACCGGCATCTATCTTTTAACGCGGAGGTTTTACTCACTAAAATCTGCCCATCTGACTGCACCCAATGCCTTCCGCATAGGAGAGTGGTAGGTATAATGCATATGAACAAAATAGTAGTTTAAAAAAGCCTATTTCTGAAAGCTCACTTTTTCTGTTTATGTTATGGTTAGAAATGGCACATTTTACATTTGTGGAAAAGTGTTAAAGAATGTGCTGGGATTTTATGGGTTTGTATTAGGATGCATACTATATGTGTATTTCAGTCCAGCACATGGGCCAAAAAATAATAAAATGAGTTAGGAACACATCTGAACTAAATTTCCAAATTCATATTGAGAATATAGTGAAGACTCGAAGTCCAGATTGAAGAAAGGATTGAAGAAATTTGAAGAAACTTTGTGATATTCGTCATTAACATCAAATAAATAAATACGTTGTTATATGCTAAGGATATAATTTTTGGTGGCACAACGTTGTTTCTAGACCAGTAACAATAAATAGATTAATAATAACCAGGCGTGAGTGCATTATAATTATTATTATTATTTTATTATTAGTGTTATTAATAATAAATTATAAAACATCCTGGAATATATCGAATTCATCTAGTCTTTATTACACCATTGTGGTGTATACGATACGATAGCGGTTTCTTGAAGAGAATTATAGTTGACTTCTAATCCGAAATAAAAAATGAGCTAAACGACTAAGTTGGGTGCGTCTTCTTTTATAGGTTATGATCCTTTTTTCTCGCGACCGCTGGGCGAGATCCGGTTTCCCGCTTTGTACAAAAAAAAGGTGACCGTGATCGGTAGAAAATTTTGAATTGCTAAATCGACCGGAAATAATTTGCAACTGCAGGATGCTCGTAAAATTAAAAATGTTTAAACCGAAAGGCAATTGATACGCCAGATTTCACGAAAGCATGAGATTTCACGAATTTCATGGATTTTACAGATTTATTAAAGATTTTACGGATTTCACCGATTTTAAAAATAATTTTTAGTTTATGTTAAACTGTTAAAGTAAAAAAAACCATAAAACGTCTTTTCAAAAAGTGAGAAAGAGTTATAGCCAGATCAGTGTAAAACGAATAAACGTAAATTTTGTAAATTCCACAAAATGTTGCAACGAGCACACAAACTTTAAATTTTTTGAACATTTTTTTTGTTATCTTACGTCATATATCCTACAACTTTAAAAATACCGAGTGAGTTTGTTGAATTCCAATCGAAATCTCACTAATAAAGTTCGTTTCGAGGATCGTTTAATAATCTATTAATTAATCTAAACAAAAGTGTAGAAATACGTTATGATGTGACAAAGACACGTCTTGCGCAGACAATAATGATTTCACAGATTTCAGGGATTTTACAGAGATCGTACACCAGATTTTGAGAGTATTATTTTTATACCACTTATCCAAGCATACTTTTGAAAAAACTGGAACTGTCTGCCCCTAGTTTAAATAGATAATTAACTGCTTAAATTAAATTTGTTTTAGTGTAACCCAGGTGTTATATCTCAGTGTAGGATGCGCAGTAGTTAAAACATTGAAACTCTCGACACCTACCACCGAGCTTAGAATAATTTATTGACACCAAAGCAAGGTGACGGAATTCTAATGTGCCCCCTCCCATAATACACATTTCGCTAATATTAATATGAACAACATGTTAGTTAAGTAAAGGTTAAAAAACGTACTTAAACTCGAAGTTCCCAAAACAATAGAACCTTGTCAATTTGTAACCTCAATTACCTACTGAAAAACCATGTCAAGTTGAACGTTTTGGATGACATCCAAGTAGTGAATACTGGATAGAATGGAATTTTTGTTTTGTTTTTATGGGAATTTTTGTTGCATTAGAAAACCCGTTAACTTGTTATAAGATATATGTTTGCATATCGGCCTGAATAATTACAAAAATTCTTATATATGTGCCTACAATCTCAAACTCGCCGGATACTTAGGCAATGGCGCAAATAGCAAATAGAAAACATAAAACAATTTTAAATATTAATTAATAAGTTGAAATAACAAATTTCAATTGAACCACTTGTACATGTCGGATACTGAATAATAATTATGAACTAAAACCCAGGTGTACCTACCTAAAAAGGTTTTTATTTAAAAGAGAGATTAAAAAATTATTTACATAGTGAATTCATACAGCCTATAATAGAAAACCAATTAAAGTCTGTTTTAAATTGCTCAAATTGAATACTTGGTGTTATATTTCCATACTTTAGAAAGGCTCAAACAACATGGGTAAAAACAGTTTTGGTAGCCAAAAAGGTCTTTTTATTCATAAGGAGGCGCTTACCTTTTTACATCTTCGAAAAAGCTAATCCAAAAGAAGACCTATGAGAAGGGACACGATGTTTTATTTCGCGAAATTTACTTTGGGGGTTGGACAAAAAACACATAAAATTCATTGCATAGAAATGTTTAATAAAGACCAAAAACACCGGCACATGAAAATTTTCGCACTATTGCGGTAGTATGCCTCATTTTAGATCAGTCCCGCGCGAAAACCGAAAACCTTTTATTTATGTTTTCTTAAATGATCCACTATTTTGCTACGTTAAGACAAAGGCATGCACAACGTAATCCGGGCTGCGTCGGTAACTGCCTCTTTTCAGGCAAAACAAATGTGAATGTTCTTCCAAGATTCACTGAATCTATTGGTTAGACAAGGAGAGAAAATAATCATGCGTACAAAGAAATATTGTACAAACGTCTGCCATCTATTAGAAAGTAGACCAACAAGTTAGGCAAGTTAAAAAAGTAAATTTTGATAAATCCGTTCTTTACCCAGAATATCCAACATTGAGAGAAAGGTTACAACCCACATTCTTTTTTTATGTACATTTTTAACCAAAGCCGCCATACTTTGCTTCGTAAATTACATTTCGGAAATTAAATATTCTTGCTTTGACTTGGTTAATTTCATAATTCAAATCCACGGAAATTAGTACGAATAACAAGATAACCCTAATTTGTTTAGCATTTAAAATTAGATTATTACATAACTGACCATAGTATTCTTGCTTCAGGATAATTAATTGAGAACCAGAAGAACTATTTGAGTAAATTCATAACACATAATCTGAGATTCATATTACTGAATTGAAAACTAGGAAGGGAGTTTTAACCTTGGACATATTCGACCAAGTAAATGTTCAAAGAAGAAGAATAGGGTTAATTCTATCATTTTATTAGTATTAAACTTTTCCGTTTTTAACTTAAGAATTGCACCTGTTCATTTCTTACTCATTTATTGCTGATTACTATTGATGAGCCCTTATCAGCACCAGAAGTCAGCAAAATGCTTAAGGTTATAAGAAGAGTTTGGAGCACTAATATTCCTCAGGTATCCACGATTAAAACCAGGGGTTGCTCATGTTTACACGTTTATATGCGACATAGTCCCACAATTCAGATTCTAAAACCCCGTGTTATACAAAGTTTCAAATGGAAATCCACACAAAAGAAAAAAGATACAGAGACTGAAAGTGAATCAGAACAAAATGATGAGGATTTTCTAGAAGCTTTCGATAGAAATACGAAGACAATGAAAATTAATGTCCAATCACCCAGGGTTGATGCAATTCTCAAAAGCGCATTGGGAATTGCTAGAAACAAAATTGAAACAATGTTTTATGAAAGTAAAATACGACTTAATGGGGAAAAGGTACTGAAAAAAAGTGTTACTGTGCAAGAAGGTGATGAATTAGATATAATTAAAGGTCCTGATCCGAAAAATGACCAGTTTCTTATAGTGTCCAGGGTTGAAATATTAGGAATATCCCCCAGAGAAGAAGGACTAACTATTAAAGTAAAAAGATGTAAATCCTTAACAGTGGAAAATTATTTATAATTGTTTAATATATTCTTTAAGTTAATGCTAATGTTCTCTGATGTGAACTTGCTCTTTAGTAAAAAGTTAAATTGCATTTATTTAAATGTTTATTATTCGATTTTTAAATCTATGGAATAAATTATGTGACAACTCCAGGGACTAAATTCTAAATAAAAGTTGATGAAATGACAAGTTCATTTATAAAAATACTTTTAATAAGCAAATGAAACAAACTACAAAGTAATATACTTAAGTATATTAACAAATTACATTAAGTTGATCACTATAAAAAATACTGGCAATTATTAGTTTCTATAAATAAAACATAAATAGCATATTTACATTTGTAACTACAATAAACCTACTCTGGAATCAGTGATGAACTCAAGTCGTTGACCAAGAAGTTGTATATGAAATTTGCTTTTCCTCTACTTGCTTGTGGCCTAGAGTTCCTAATTTGATCCCTAAGTAATATATCGCCAAACAAAGAAGCTAAGGTTTTTGCGTCATAACCATTATCCTGTGAATATTTCAGGAGTTCTTGCAAAAACATACAAACATATAGGAAAACGTTGCGGTGTATGTCACTCAGTTTTTGCCGAATTAACTAAAAAAAGAATATAGTCGCATATAGGGGGTCACCAAAGTATGGTATTAAGAAAACAAGCAGTCCTAGAAATCTGAAAAAACAAATTCATTTATTAAATAAAAAAAGAGCATAACTAATCAGTAAAGTGGATTTTTTCCCCAAAATGCAACTTTTTTTTAAGCCTTAAGTTCATTTATTCATATTTTATGTTAGGATAAAGATATTGGATGAAGTTTTTCGAGTTGCTGGGCGCTTATTTGGAAACTTTTTTGCGATATCGCAATCGCGACAGTTATAGCACGGTTTATTTAGGAAAATGTTTGAATACCCCCACTACAGAGCAAACAACATCAAACAAAAATCCTTTAAATTTGTCTTAGCTTTAAAACAGCAAGTTTTTAAATTCAAGATACCAATCGTACCCCCCTGGTGGCCATTTCAGAAACTCGACAAAAATTTACAGCATTTTTTTTGGACAATTTCATTACTTTTTTTTTTAATTTCTAGGACAGTCCGTTTCCCCAATGCCGTACCTGTTGCTTTTAATGGCCACATCTCAAGAAAAACAGATTTAACAAGAAGTGAAAAACTAAAAAACTCAAGATCTGCCAGAGAGAAACCTGCAGATTGTTTTTATAGAAATTAAAATTCTCTTCGAATGATATTTGGAATGCTTATAAATAGTATAAAACAGAATAGTATAAACAGAAGTTTCTTGTACATTTTCTATCTAGGAAAATCGGAAACAGCACTAGTCGTTAGGCAGTGTGAAGTAACTTTATTTTTAATTGACCTACTAAAGTTTGAAATCACTTACCTGTCGACAGTTTTGAAAATTATTTGATGCTGCAACACATACATCTTGCAGATCAAAAGGTATAACAGGTTCTTTGGTATATGATAAAAACAATAACAAAGCTTCGGCAACAGCCTGAACAGACCCAGCTAAAAAAAATTATTAAGGAAAAAGTGCAAAAAATTTAGGCAAGCAGCATGAAGTTCAGTAACTGAATAAATTTATGGACTACTCAATACCTCTCAGTATACTACTAGGGTTAATTTCACAACAAAAATTATTTAAATTAATGAAAAAAAAGGCATTGAAAGAAATACTCAAATTTTTCAGTTTTGAGTCCACCTTGTTATCAAAAAAAAAATTAAGAAAATATTTGAAAGTATTTACACTATTCTGAACAAGATCGCCGGTCGCCGAGATTCAAAATCATGGCAAACTATAGATATTTCAATTAAAAAGAACTGTAAATCAGAAAATTGTAGTTCTCAACCCAGTCTACTATACGGTTTAAACCAAATTATCCTATCTTGTGACGTTTTTCATTTACGACCAATAATTTTTAAACAAAAACGAAAATTTTCAGGATTTTTTAGAATTTTTGCAAAAAAACAACACACCCTGTATGTAATTCGAACAATGTTCGAAGTAGTGGTTATAACCCTGAACCTCTGACGTTTCCTGGTCCTCGAATTTCTCTAATCGAGCGAACGGTTTTCGCGAAAATAATTCTTTTTTGAAACTATGCCGTACGCCGTAATAGTAAATTACGTCATCGCGTCTGGATTGAGTGAGAGGAATAGTGATTTTCATATACATTCCTTGAGTAGCGTGTGTGATAAACGAAAACCGTAAATACAAAAATTGTAGCTGTTGATGCGGCCTATAATACCGTATAAACCAATTAGCCATATTTTTTAAGAATTTTGATTTGCGATTAATAATTTGCCCAGGAAAAGAACAATTTTACGGGTCCTTTAGATTTGTGTCAATAATTAAACAAGTTAAAAGTTATAGTTAGTAACAAATCTTCCCCGTCTCCTATTTAAAGAACTTTGCGGATCGGGTTAACAGTTTTCGAGAAAATAGAGTTTTTCTGCGAGACAAAGTAACCCAAAAAAATTTTTTTTCAAAAATTACTTCGAGATATTTGACGGCGTCCAGTTTTAACAGTTTAAGTGTGAGTCTGGACTTCTACGTTTCTGCTAAATTTGAAGTCGATAGCTGCTCACTTGTTACATTTCCTAATATATATCCAAAAAACAGTCGAAAATTGAATAGAATAATATAAAAGAATGATAAAGGATACGTAAAGGATCTTGGGATCCAAAATCCAACCAATCTCTAATTTTAATAATCTCTTCATGCAACGCAGAAGACTCAAATAATTCTTTTGTTTTCAACCCATGCCTGTACAAATGGTCCACTAAAAGCCACAATTCGCGAGGCACTGAATATATAATTGGAGTTTCGTTGTTCCTCTACAACAATATAATGGATTCTGTACTAACTCAGACAACCAAAAGTCTAAAACAGACTGACCGCTTTCTCCCAATCTTCACCGGATAAGTTCATGATAGGAATTTGAGTTCTGACTAGTGAAGACAGGGCCTGAGTGAAGCAAGATTTCTGGCAAGTACCACTCACAGTGATAAACATATCTTTTCCACCTTTCAAGTGTAACACTAGTATGTCGTAGATTCGTTCAAGATCTGTTTCCAAGTTAACTTCTAACCTTATGTCGCACTTTTCGCCTGAAATAAATTCTAGTTTTTAATAATATATTGTGAACTAAATTGGCGGAAACAATATACCTGGATTTATACTGCCGCAATATGGCAAAATGCGTAACCAGTCTTTACAATAACTTACTTCGTCTAGTTTTTTGATAAATTCAAAATCGGCAGGTACCTAAAATCAAAAATCTCAAATGTTCAGTTCTTTTTTAATGGACTTAGCGCTAAAAATTTGTATTTTAATAATTGTTTTAAAAAATTGGAAGCTAATTTCTGCCACAGAGAAAAGTAGGAAATTTGCTGAGATCATTTTGATATGTTCACATTTTTTAGATTTTTTTTTATACAAAAAATAATAGATAATATTCTACTCACCACTCCAGTATTGGCGATAATAATTTCCTTCGTCTGGGGTTCCCTAAACTTGATTTGTTCAAAATGAACTTCAGACGGGTCAACTGTAACTTGCGGCAAAAATTCGTTTTCATGCTTATCCATTTTCTTGAGCAGATCCTCGTGAACCTTCCTGTATTGGATCGGATCGACCACACTGATTTCTGATTTAAATAGCGCACTAACAGGCCTATGATCGCTGATTTTTAGATCCATATGGCTTCTGTATTCGACCTGATGGATTCCCTTACCCCTCCATAATATTCTGTCAGTCCACGCGGGAGGTCTAGCTTTTTCACTTGTATCATATATGTCTGTATTTAAGTCAAATTTATAAGTAGGTTGAAAGGTAATATTTCCCTCTTCGTAGTCCTGAAATTGGATAACAACTGACATGTGAATATCCAAAACATATTTGCACAACATTGTGTGAGTCACCCAAACTGATAAATAAGAGACCTTGACTTGATAGATTTTCAGTGTAAAAGAATGTGATAAATTTCTCATGTTTAGAATTATAATGCTTTGAAAAATTAGGCTTAAGAATAAATTTGTATAAATATAAATGTATACAATCCCTCATGTCTACATCAAATCAGATTTAATTGTATTATATGACCAAAGGTAACAGAAAAAACTTACCAACAACACGTTCCCGCGTTCTTTTTGTTGATTCAGTTGATCCGCTTTCAACAAAGCGTTCATCTCGTTCCTTTGCAAAAGCGTTTTCACTTGAACATTCGTTAAGTCCGTAATACGATAATTTAAGTCGCCTAGCCAATAAATTTGACTGCAAAATAACAAGACGTGATAAAGATATTTAATGCTTTAAAAGGTCGCGTTTTTATATCGAAATAAAAGTGTAGGAAAACATAATGGAACTAGAAACAAATTAATAATAACTTCAAATTTTCTACAATCAGAGAAAGGAAAAAATATATTCAAGCACAGACAATTACAGCTTTTCTGACAACAGAAATAGCACAACATAATTTTCTACAAATAGAGAAAAAAATATATTCAAGCACAGGCAACTACAGCTTTTCTGGCAACAGAAATAGAAAGCACAACACAATTTTCTACAAATACAACAGAAATAAAAAGCACAATATAAAAATTATGTCTTGCTTCTAGTTGACCTAGAAGAAAAATCTATTAGCCCAATAATATTGGGATGAGTTTAAAAAATCCAATTATACTCTGGGCTATTCGTAATCTAAGTGAATGAAACATGAAGAAACGCACACAACACTTACTCATGATCCTTGATAGCTTGTGGATTTTTTCTAAAGTTTATCCTAGCATTGATATCTTTGTAGTCTTGATTTCTCCTTTCAAACTCCTCTATGTGTGCTGCCAAATGGCAGTTTACAAAGCACAAAGATGTATTGTGAAGTTCCAGTCTCACTGCCACTCCACCTTTATTACCCTAAGCGGGAGAAATAACTATTTTAATGCCTCGAAAGGAACATTAGAAAGGCAAAAGATTTTGATGGATACATCTGTTCAGAACTATCGCACGGCAGCTATTAATATTTTAAATAGAATTCCTTCCGTCTGAGTTGAAAATAAAAACAACGTCAGAAGAGATATAAGCACCAACTAAAAGATAAGCGATAAGTGTTGCGTAGTTCAGATCTGACATATATGTACTATATACAAACAAACCTACTAATATGGTGTATAAATAGCAGATTATGATTTTCTTTGGTTAGACAAAGAGATTTAGAAAATGATTATAAAGAATTAAGCTGATCACACTCATCACTCAGGGGCCATAATCCTGTCCCATAAAGCCAACATCAGCTAAGCTTACTGTTATGCATAAATGAAGCAAAACAATTGTTAATCTTGTGCAACTGATGCGGACACTGAGTGGGTCTAGAATATGGCCTCAAGAAAATATTATCAAATTACCGCTAAAAATCTTCCCCTGAGCCAATTGAATTTCTCGTATAGATACTCCTTGTCCTAACAAATACAGAAACTCAAATGACTATTAGATGGTAGGGCCGAAGAAGAGGATATACAAGACCTGCATTTATTTGTACAGGGTGTCCTGCTGCAGTTAATGACAAAGCTAAAATAACCCAACCTTATTACTGGTAATCACCACAGCTATGACACCCTGTCTGTGTGAATTTTGTTCTCACCATCTTGCCCAATAGTCCTGTCCCCACTGTATCAAATGAGACATTCTTTACATGCTGATAGTGCTTGTTGTTTACCATAACGGCCAACTGCATTCCAACTAAACGAGCTAGTGCAACCAATCTATATTTTGCATCAGAATGTAGCCCATCCATAACAAATTTTCTGAAAAATTTATAATTTGTTTTCTAAATTTGATGCAAATGAGAAAACATGAGCGATACTAAATAAGTTCTCTGAATATGAATATTAAAGTGGACAAAAATTACTCACTGCCATTCTGCTTCTCTAGGTGTATCATTGAAAATAAATGCTTCTTTGCTTAAATCTAGTTCCTGAAATCCCACAGCATATACATCTGGAGGATGTTGATCATAACTCAACCATGAACGAAGTGAAATTGTTGGCGGTTGCCCATTAACATTCCAAGTGCCCACAAAAATTCTACAACAGAAATTTTTTCTTAATGGTACCACTACAAACTTTGCTAAATTTCTTACGTAAATTCATGTTTTTGGGTAAATTCGGCTTCCCTAAGTTTAAGCTGATATTTTAACATAGACTCACGATTTATTGCTGTTTGTCCTTGAGTCATTTTGTCTCTGGATATTACTATGTCAGACTAAAATCATTATTATTTTTCCGTTTATATTACAAAGGCAGGTTTACTAAAAATATTAGGCTACCACCTCAACAAAATTTGGATAACATTAAAATTATACCTAATATTCAAAAATCAAAGCATGATAGTTTATCAAAACAGATAAGATTGATAAAAAATGAGGAGATGAAGTGAGATAAGGGAGAATATTATACTTACCACCTGATCCGAAATATCTGAACATTTATTTGCCTGGATCATTGTCCCAAAATATTTCTCCAACCAAGTAAAATTGGACTTGTTATTTGAAGGAACTGAAAACAGATGTCAACGGCACCAATAATATTGCAATAAAGAATTTTTATTTTTACCTTCTTTAGCTTTTATTACCTCTGAGGCAAAATTTGAACTCTCTTTTCCAATTTCAATTTGAAATTCATACTTTGTTTGTTTATAAGATATTATAAATTTGACATGCTTTTGGCTATTTACCGGCTCGGAATCTAAAATGGAAAAAAGATCTATCTATTAATTATTTTTCTACAATTGGTAATTTTTAAATTAAATTATGTTTCACCTATTGATTTAAATTCAATAATTAAATTAAGTGACTAACTCAACCAACAAGAATTATATATTATATAAAAGAATATCCCAACAAATTTAACAAGAAATATTAAGACAAAATTACACTTACCACAGCTAAAATGATCATCCACTGGAATTACACTTTCAATTGCTAAATCTGAAATACTTATGGGTTTAATTCGGGAAGATATTATTACAAACAAAGCAAATGATTTATTGTACTCCACTAAAGCTAAAATTCTATTGCTATTGTCTATAGGTCCATCAACTAAAGAAACATTTAAGTGAATCTGATGATATCTTAAGGATATAAATTCAGTAACTAGTTGAAAAATAAAGATTTAACATTTAATAGGTACGGCTTATCAAAACCAACTTCCTGTCATGGCAAATATCAGTGCTTCAAAATAAAAATAACTGTGTTAGAATATATATTAACAAATATTTGCCAGTGTTTTTTAATTAAATAAATATTTGATAAGGATACACTTTTTACTACCTCTGCGGCCAAGAATTTCGCTTGTACAATATTAAAAACATCTTGGTGATCTGCTAACATTTTTGATCATTCAAAATCATGATAAATTAATGGTACACTGTTTACACATGGTGAAAATCTCAAAAAATATTGGACATTGAACGACTGAAAATTTAATATTGACATTCAGCCTAACCTTTCTTTGAGATTCTGACGTCAATAGTGACGTTAGCAAAACAGACGTTTTGGTTTATGATTACTATTACACTAAATGAGAGCAACTGCAACGGAAGACACAACGAAAAAAGATAGGTAGAACTCCAGAACCTCCGAAGAAGCAAAAATGATTTTTTTATAGTTTAGTGTTATATTACCGTAATTACATATTTTCTAGGCCATTTTCTAGCGGAAAAAATATTGCGCTTGTCACTGAAATTAGTATTGACATAACGAGTTTGTAGAATTGCAGGAAAATTGATTACCGAATAAAAATTTCATAAAATATAAAAAAATAGAATTTCGTAGCATTGTAAACTTCATGTACATAGAAGAAAAAACTTTTATTTCCATTAGGAAGTTTTTAACTATCTTGATCTAATAAAATTCTAATGCTCGGTAATTGTAGTTCTACCCGTAGGTATTCAACTTATATAGTTAATATATACTTTTTTTTAAATTGAAATAATGGAATAGTTATGTAGAATCGTTTCTACAACATGGTCTCCTAGCAGTAATGTTTGTTATTATTTTAAGGTGTCATATAACCACTGAAATGTTATTAACAATAATTATTACATCATGTAATAGGGCTGGAAGTCCGTCAAATAAATAATTCTTATTTACTGTCTAATTTTATTAGTGGGTGAAAAGATAAAAGAACCACAAATTGATATACCATAATCACTCTTTCGCCATCTGTTGGTGAGTAGAGAAAAATGAGGCATTTTTTCAAAGTTTCTGGAAAAACTGGCTAATAGGACAAGTTGGCTGTGAAGTCCCAAATTTCTATAGATTGCAAATGTCAGATTTCCATTTTGACAATCAAAAACTTGCTAGGTTTAAGTGGGTACTGATTGTTTATGTTGAACAATTTTTGTCCTGCAGTTATATAGGTACACACTGAAATGACTGACTGGATTTTCTGCAATAAATGCACCCTGAAATTACAAGGTGCTGGAAAATTTTTCATCGCTGAATGCGGTCATATTTTTTGCGAAAAATGTGTCGACCACTTGAGTAAGTAGTGCATATATTTTGAAAAATATTCGATTTTATAATAGCCATTTCACACGTAGAGCAAACCAAAACGTGCAATTTTTGTTCAAAACCACTGAAGGTTATAGAACTTTCCAAGGATATGGATCCTTCCTTGCAACCATTTTTTCTGCCCATACAAGATCTCGGCCAACAATTTTTACAGGTTTTTCTCTGATGTCCTTTCGCCTTCGGCAAATTATAGAAAGCATTTTAAATTGTAGGTCGTTAACTTCCAAATGCAGCACAAGAATATGTATTTGCAATCTTTGAATAAAAAATACAGTTTTGCTAAAAAAGAATGCATTCGTTATTACAATGTCAATAAAAAACTGCAGTTGGAGATCAAACTGCTTCGAGATAGGATGGAGGTAATATTTTAGACATTAATTTCATCAATTTGGCTTGGCTACAAAAATCAATACATAGAATGCAATAATATATGAACCACGTATTTGCAGTCGCTTGGGCATAATCCAGAACTTCACACTAGTACCCCAACTCTAGCAAAAGATTTCTCATATCGAAATAATCACTCATCCACCATGTTCCGTAGTCCATACACGCCAAAAATTGGTTCAGTTCCAGGATCTGCGAGAAGAATCATGTCAGATAAGATTGGTATGCAGTGTTTGGTAAGTTGTTAAATATGTATAAACCTTTTGGTTTTTTGTAAACTGTCCTATATCGAAAACATTTATATTTTTATATAAGGTTAAATTTGATAACCGTATTTCGGGAAAGCTATAGGGATAAGCAATAGATGTTGATGCTCAAACTGTAATGATTCCCTGCTTATACAAAACACGATTTGACATTTTAATATCTCGAATGTTAATCTTTTATGTCACACTATGGAAAATTTATATTTAAACCTGAAATTTTATAGACGTTGCAAGCAATATTCAGTAATTGCAAATAATTTCGAAAATACGTTTCCGTTTCCTTATTTTTTTTTACAAAATTGAATTATCTATCGTTCCGGGACAGGTAAATAATCAAATTTTATAATGAAACGAACCATTGTTAGAGGGTGTTGGAGTTTTCTTAACTTATGAAGTATTAGTACTTATAATTACCATTTTAGCAGCATAAGATTTTGTTTATTTTTAATACGCTTGAGCCCACTTTAAATTCAGCACGGCCTTCATTCTCTGTTTGCAGAAAGTTGAGATAGAACCCGCTCAGCATTTTATTCAGGAAATGCGAAACGTGACATGCTGTAAACAAAATATAAGGTACGGCTTTAGGTACCATATCCTGTACGTTCAGCAAAATATATTTTCCGTCTTTTTTCCGGTAGGAAGATATATTAATATTTGCGCCGCTCCGGGTTGGTTTAGCCTTAAAATAATATCCGAGATCAGCGAGATCGGTGGTTGATCGGCGCTTTGATATTTTAAGGTTCAGAGTAAATATTTAAGCAAAATTAATTGTGGCATAACTAAATTTAATCTTTATGGAATGTATGTCCATAAAACTTGTATGGTATTATCTCTGTACGCATTTGTTAAAAAAGGATTCAAAATCGTACTTCATCTGTAGATATATACAACTATTGGATTGCCATACTTTGCATATTTAATTCACACGCTGATTACACTATGTAACAAATAGATTAAGTTAACAAATAGTTTTATTGTTTCCAACAAAATTTAACATAAAAAAAATTAAAAGTGTCTAAAACATTAAACGTTATGCATGATATACAGGGTAATTAACAAGATAGTGTAATCTAAAAATTGGAGATACTTGCAAATGTTGCTAGCTTACAGGATGTGGATTATTTGCAACAAAAATTGAAAAATATACGTAAAAAAATAATTTCAACAATGTTGGCAGTAGCAATACATGAACAAAACATATTATTTTTATCGGTAAAAATCGACAGCGAAATAAAAAAAAATTAAAGAAAATAAATGTTTAATTGCTTGCTCAATATTAGAACATTAAAATTCATGTATTTTTAAATACTAATTTGGTGGAGATGACTTTTGTATTTTTTAAACGAAGAGAAGTGAATTTTCTTGGCGAAATCCACACGCCAAACTATTGCATTTTTTAATATAGGGAGAGGCCACCAATAAAATTAAAAATAATGCACTGCAGCCAATGGTCTTTGCAAACATAAGAAAATGTATAGGTATAATGGTCATATTAAGCATTTACTGTAAAGTATTTTAATCATTTAATTACGATGTCTTTCTTGTATTATTAAAAACTTCTGGATCCGTTCTGCGACGGTTTTTGGTGATTCGAACTAGCTAAGGTTGGCTTCTTCAGAGCTTGACTGAAATTTCAGTCTCAGGCCTGTGGAAGTTTCTTTGAAAAATTGATGTCTTGTAATTTTTACAAAAGTTTTGAAAATGTAAAAATTACTATAGTGATATTAAAAATAGGAGAATATTAAGAATAGGAGAATTATTTGACAGCAGCCTTCTTATTATAAAAAAAATCATCTCAGTCAACTTCAAAATATTTCAATTTTCTAATAAATGCAGTAAAAAGCTAATAAATGTCTCGATATTATGATATTGAGGCCTGTTCAATAAATTTTTCCTTCTACCATTGTTCCATTTTTACAAAAAAAGGGAGATGTGTAGTTCACGTAATTGACTACCCTTGAGTTAAAATTAAAAAGTCGAAAGTCAATTTTTTAATGTTATTGTTGCCGAAATTATTACAACCATATATAGTTGTTTTTAAGTTTTTGTAAAAAAAAACCTTTTACACACTTTCGTAAACCAGCAGCATTGGTTTAAGGCAAGGTTGGCTTAATCATTTTAAAACTCAGCTCAGCTTTTTTAACCACTGGTGGTGGGATGTTTTTGGTAGATCTTAGCCACATCGCGCGTAAGCGTACTTGTGCTGTTTTGCAAAAAAACTAATGGAGGTAGATAAACTATAGCATGAAGTTGATAAACTTCTTTAGACACTCAAAACTCTCATTCTGCTGTGCCCTGCTCCTGCCAAAACCAACCCATGGTTAAAATGTCGTTTACCAAACTTATATTATTGATGTGTTAGTAATAGCATAGAATTAGTATTTCTTAATTACAAGGTTTTGTCAAACAAACAAAACAACATCGCGTTCTAGATGGTAATTAAATATTCAATTTATAAACGACAAAAGGCAACTCTGTTATCGCGAGTAACACAACAAGCTTTAAATAATCCTTATTAACATGCTAGAATACTGACTGCTATGCGTGTCATCCGATTTCTTTCGCTCAATAAAACATCACAGTAAAACACAATCTGAAATCACACATAACATCCACGGAAATATAGATCGTCTGGTCAGATAGTTTTGTTCCCATATTTACGTTGGACTTATGCGTCTGGGTTTATCGTCTTGGTAAACGCAAATGCACCCGTCTGGCTATTTGTTTAACAAATGGACACAAAACACTTTATCGCTGAGGACGATCTAACTTGGCTCAACTAACCTCGTTAAATAAATCAGGGAAAATTTATAAAGTCGGTAATCTGGCGGGATTATCTATCGAGGACAGAAATCAATATTACGTACCTACTTAGAATAGCGACGTCAACAGACGCGTTTTGAATATTTCATAAAGTTCGGGAGACCCATCGATTAACGGAAATTTAAGGGAAAATATTTATTTTAAAACTTCGTTTCTATTTCCACTTCAACATTTGTATTTATTAGCGTTTTTTTTTTGCATAAATTAGCATTTTATATGGTGAATTTTATGTTTTTCGATATGTATGTTAGGTTAGGATAAAGATATTGCGATGCATTTTTAACGGAACCCTTAATATGGAAGGGCGTAAAAAAGTCATGTCGAATTTACTTTTTTTCTATTTTTTTGTGATTGTTAGGAAATGGCATCTGGTGGCAAGGGTAAGCAACAGCGGTTGAAGCACCAT